CAAATCTGTCATCGAAGTTCAACCACCCGTCCGAGTAGTGAGGATCGATCTGCGTCGAGGAAACGCTTGGCAGGACGAAGCACGCTGGCGCGCTTTGTCTCCAATCTCTACAGTTGGAAAGAATAAATGAACGAAGGTGGGAAGTAGTGAATCAACGAAGTGATTATTTAATTTATTAGTGAATAAAAGAATTAATATAATAACCATGTGTCATTGCGTGTCAGCATTAAGCTCTTCCAGTATTTATTAGCATTGCTTACCAGTTACTGAAAAATCAATCCAAGCATCAGATGCAGTAGCTTCAAAGAGAGCATTTCCCCAATGTACCGTATGTTTAAAAAATGTTTCACATCATCTACGAATCAGCTAATAAAATATCGCCTGATAATGATCAACGAGATTAAAGTCTGGTTAAATTTCTGGTTTAACGGAAGTTGATTAGCATAACTCATTCATTTACGTACGTACGAGGACAACTCCCATATCTGCGTCAAGCTAGTACCGGAAAAAACAATTTTGCTTGTTGCCTCACATAGGCTATCTTTGACTGTGCTGCTTATATGACTGCTGATTTTATGTTGTGGTGGCACAGTCCATAGGGGAGCGGATACGCGCCCCCCCCCCCTTCTGAAATTTGTGGAGAAGATCAATTAACTTCTACACCGATGGGTGCGACATTGCCATTTTGGTCTGAATTCATCGATGGACTGACTCTGCATGGTTATTCGTACGAACTTCACTGCAGGATCACCCTACAGTAAACCGACTACATTTCTGATGGAAACAACGCCGGAAGTATTATATTCCTTCTACGATTTAAGTAGCGACGTAGTTGTCTTCGAACCACCCAAGAAGCAACCTAAATTCGTCTGTCGATCACTTGATCTAGTTCAGCAACGGATTCAAATGCCAACTTTATTATCATCCCTGCTTTCAAGGCGAAATCAGTAACAGAGCTATAAGTACCATGAAACTGCAATTCAATCAAATGTTTCTTCATGTTGCAATCCAGATAGTAAAACCAGCCATGAAATTTAACACTTCGGAAAGGGTTCTTGATTTCGTGCATTGGTGTGATGTCGAAATCACAAGTTATTGAATCCCAAGGAAGCTCTGTCACAATTGCTTTCATCAACTGAAAGCTCCTGTTGTACGTGGCCTCATGCTTTTGTGTCAAAACCACGTTTACACCGGCAACCGGACAAAAGCCTCTGGACAATAACCCTGCCCCCCTCGGCAGACAAAAACCCTGGTGAGCAATAACCCCCGGACAAAGTACGTCATTTCTAATGTACCCAAAACAATATAAAATTATTATTTTAGATCAGCATGAAAGGTTGTATGCCATCGCACGTAAATAGTCCATAACGTTGCTAACACGGTAGCTGCGAACGATGGTAAGAATCCGGGCAATTGAATCAGTATGCTTTTTTCTTGGAATTGGCGGGTGGTGGATGACCGGCCAGAATATGAGTGCAGTGAACTTGTTGTAATGCTTCTTCCCTTTGAAGAAATCCAATAAATTTCCAAATGGTTGGACGGTATCTGCCAACATTAGACTGAAAACTTCTGTGGCAGCCTTCCACTGTTCTTGGTAATTCATCTTCGCATTTTTGATGCACATTCCACATTTCTGTGGCATAAGCTGGTATGTACGGCGTTGTGGTTTTCTAATGTAAAATTCTTGGAAGTAATCTGCGAATGGTGTACTTTCTGGAGGTAGAAATTCAGACAGTTCCTCAAAAGCGCGGACAATCTCATTTATGGGCACAAATGCTAGAACTGGAATCAATCTTCGAAAGGGTGTACATCATTCGAAAGGTTGCAAACTGGAATGGACCCACCAAACTTTTCCGTCAGTAATGTACAAATTCTGCGAAAACGCTGGCTGTGCACGTCGAAGTGTTCCATCTGCAAATCACATCCTCGACTCCCTCAGGATCTGCAGGTTTCTCTGAGTGCCAAATATCAGTAATCAATTAGGACCATATGCGTTATCACATATCAGCAACTGTTCAAAAGCACTCGGTTGCAGCTCGTATCATTCATACGATTGACGCAGAGCCAATGCTTCCAAATTCAGTGGAGCTGGTACAGCAGCATTCAGATCATTTCCTTCTTCTTATGGCGATATTCTTAAGACCAGGAAGGTTTCCAGGCGAATCTTGAGCTCCTTGCAACAGTCCCACTGAGTACTCATTAGTGACCTGCACGATTCCTTCCGTACTTTCATCAACACGCTTTTTAATTTTGGTAACAAGTTCTACAGCCTCCATACGAGCGGCCAAACTGATATGTGAGTGTTCACCTAACTGTCTGAATCCTTGTCATACAACAGATCTTTTGCTCATAGCGTCAACATTTTTTTGTTCCGTCGCTACTCTTCTTGTCGACCACATAACAAAAGCCTTACGAAGAAAAATGTTTATGATCGCATTTCAACAGCAACAGCAACATTTTCATCCTCAAAATACTGTAACTCACGTCCCGTATCGACTAATAGTGTAAAATGAGGTAAATGGTAACAGTAGTGAAATCGCAATGACAGCACCCCATTGGCTGCATGTCTTCACGAGGTTCCAATTTTGCCCAGAATTGAATAACTAAATCAAAACTCCTTGGAATTCCAATCTTTTAACGAAGTGTCGCAGTATGTTCATAGGGAACTAGCCATCGAGAACCAATGTAGTTAAAGAGAGCGGGAAAGGAATTGAAACAAGTGTCTGCAAGGGACGCGGATTCCAATTATTTACTAAATCACTGTCCACGACTTATTCACCAGACGCAGCCACTATGATAAAATCGTAAAATAACAAGGGATTTTCTACATGCACAAGATCGACATTCTACTGAGGGATGAGTGATGGTTAAATGAATCATCTTATGCATCTCTCCATCAGTCAGTTACATAGATTCAACTCGCATTAATAATAATCTTAGTGTCATTATTAAACAAAATTTAGAAATTGAATGTTTCCACAGAAGTTACATATTATGCTTAATGAGAGTTTGAAATTGATACAAAATCGCCATTGAAAATGCGAACTTTGACTCATTCTGTTTTAATCATCTTGTGTTAGAGTCACTGTGAAATCATCAGACAAAGATGCCAATTCTGAAATTGATATTTATGACAAAAATTTCATATTCTGCTCACAAACAACTTTCAAATGATGTATAATGTGACGGATTGAGTGAAGTAATTGATACAGACGATCACTTGAAATTATTCATGATATTAACTCAGGCTTTTGATCAAATAGCAGCGCGCTGACTTAGCGAATTCGCGCCGTCACCACGATCGAGTCATAAAATGAAAATCGTTCATGTTCATAGATTGGT